GTCAAGTTGTAGTAAAAACAATAGAACAGAGAACAACAGACTGTTAACGTCACATATGAACAGTTCTTCAGATAAACTATAACATAAACAACAGAACAAGTTTAACCAAACTCTCCATCTCACTCCAAATCACTAAATCCATTCAATTCTTCATCCTCGGTGTCACTTCTGAGCAACTCCATGACCTCCAGAGATAAACGTTGTGCCGCTTCCTCTTCTGTGTCGCTGTCGTCAGCCTAAGCATCAGTTTCAGTTAGAATTATTCCGGCCTTTCTGAATCCCGACAGGATGGTTTCAGTGTCACTGAAGTCGATCCGTCCAGTGACTTCCAAGAAACTTGAATGGCGCAAGCTCCTGGTTCCCGCGAAGCTATGTTTTCCATCCCAGCTTTCTGCCAGTCCCTTATAACTTTCTCGCTCACTATAAACTTTCTCTCTGCTGCTCGATTACCGTTTTCGGCTCCATATTTCGCTACTTGCAACAGGACAGAGGCTCTTTCTGCAGGAGACATGCGCAGTAGAGCCAAGTGACAGTGGTACAGGAGGAACAGGAACAGCAGATACTCACACACAAGACTAGGGCCTCTCACGGCTTCAGTGTGAAAATTTTAATATATAAGTCGCACCGAAGTATAAATATAAGAAACACCCAAACCATGAAAAAAAGTGTGACTTATAATCCAAAAAATACGGTACCTTACGCATTCCGAACATCCTAATTAGTCACTGCGATGAGTTTACTTTTCACAAGTCTCAGAGACCAGCGCAGAGTTTAAAGATGACAACTTGCATGCTAACACACACTTCCTGATTATGGTACAATAAAATGCTTTCTAATTAGATACATAGAACAAACAGTAGCCTTATTTTGACCCTAAGAGCTGCTTATACAACATATGAAGAAAAAGTTTTGTTAAAATACTTGGGAAAACTCAGATACAGGTTCTTAAATAAATAAATGCAACAGAAAAGTTACATAATGCAGCTTTAAAACTGTGCAACTTCTCAATCTTCATCCCCAACAACTATAGTTTATGTTGCTGTGTTACATTAGTGGTGTAGGGTTTAATGGGCGACCGCATTGTTGTAAATTTAGACCGGATTAGACGGACTTAGAGGTAAACATATCCGCTTTAATGTCAGTGACTGCAGTGCACCATGGGAGTAATTTTCATTCATCTTATTTTGGACAGGACCACGCTGATCTTCTGGCTAGACAAAGGTCGGATTGTTTTTCAGGTTCTCAGTCAGCCACGCCATCTTGCTTAAATAACGTTAGTCGCAGTTAAAGGTTCACTACGTCACTTTTCTGCCACCTCCACGCGCTTGTCTCCGTGGGTTTTTGCCGGGGATGAAGCGATCCGGCTTTTTCTGGTCCAATACCGATTTCGTTACTGTGGCTTTAAAGGTGCATTGTGTAACTTTTCTAGTGTAGGGTCCATCCAATGCTTTTTTTTTTTTTTTTTTTTTTTACTGTGGAAATCCGATTGCTTTGTCTGGAATTTTCACAGTATGGTATTAAAACTTTCTGTCTTAATACCAAACCAGACCAAGTTTATTTATTTATTTATTTATTTCAGTTCAGTTCAGTTTATTTTTATTTTTATTTTCATTTTTATATTTAATTTAATTTAATTGTATTTATTTATTATATATATTATATATTATATATATATATATATATATTTTTTTTATTACATTTTTTTATATTTTTTATTTTATTTATTTTTATTTATTTATTTATTTATTTTTGATTTTTATTATTTTATTTTGGGCAAGTACAGATTTACATTCTTAGAAATAAAAACAGCCACAACTAAAAATCTGCCCAAAAATAAGTAGAAAGAAGAAAATGTATTTAATCCCCATCCCCACTCAAGTTACGGGTCAGATCTGCGGAGAGGCGACCCTGCTCAAAGTCAGAACGCCTGTTTTTGTGGGTATTTTTGAGCTATAATATCACCTGTAATTGAATAAATGTAAGGTAGAGCTGCTTAATGTCATACTGTGGAACATTCCAGGCAGAGCAATGACATCTCCATAGAAACAAGCAGGTGACAGACCCCGGACCATAAAGTTACATAGTGCATCTTTAAGTATCTGCAGCTAATATCAACTGATACCAACACACACAGGCTGAAAATGTCTGTAAAACAAAATAAAATAAGACAAAACTGATCCAAATGGGTTATGTAGCTGTTATTTATTCACCAAGTAACTACAGAATAACTTTGTATAAATAAAAGTTCTAATATTTTGAGGCTTTCTGGGCCTGTTACTATGGAGTAAGAAAACTTTCAGAAATATTCGTGTGCAAAGGATAGAAATTTGGCTGTATTTTGTGATTTGGCTGTAGATGAGCGTAAATTAAATATTTGTAAACTCTCTAATGAGTTGAGTCATACATAAAATGTGTTGTGTGTATTTTGTCCATCAGTGTATAAACTGGAAAGTTAGGACATCAAGAATTACAATCACGAAATGAAAATGTATGATTACAATTTCTTCAGTATGAATTCACAGACGCGACTCGACTGTCAAAAATACATCATCACTTCACAGGCTTTATTTATTGTTTTAGTCCTAGCTCAGTCCTGGTTCAATCCTGGTTCAGTCCTGGGATCAGTCCTGGTTCAGTCCTGGTTCAGTCCTGGTTCAGTCCTGGTTTAGTCCTGGTTCAGTTCTGGGATCAAATCCTAGTTCAGTCCTGGTTCAGTCCTGGTTCAGTCCTGGTTCAGTCCTGGTTCAATCGTGGTTCAGTTCTGGGATCAAATCCTAGTTCAGTCCTAGTTCAGTCCTAGTTCAGTCCTGGTTCAGTCCTGGTTCAGTCCTGGTTCAGTCCTGGTTCAGTCCTGGCTCAGTCCTGGTTTAGTCCTGGTTCAGTCCTCCTGGTTCAGTCCTGGTTTAGTCCTGGCTCAGTCCTGATTTAGTCCTGGTTCAGTCCTGGTTCAGTCCTGGTTCAGTCCTGGTTCAGTCCTGGCTCAGTCCTGGTTTAGTCCTGGTTCAGTCCTCCTGGTTCAGTCCTGGTTTAGTCCTGGCTCAGTCCTGATTTAGTCCTGGTTCAGTCCTGGTTCAGTCCTGGTTCAGTCCTGGTTCAGTCCTGGTTCAGTCCTGGTTCAGTCCTGGCTCAGTCCTGATTTAGTCCTGGTTCAGTCCGTATGCGGCGCAAAAGTCCGGCATTACCGGTGTCTTATGTTACCTGCTTGTTTCCATGGAGATACTCAAGTTCAATGCCATACTGTGGAACTATTCAGACAAAACAATAACATCTCTCCATGGAGGCAGGCAGGCAGGCGGCGGATCCTTACCAGAAAAGTTACATGATGCAACTTTAAATTATGTAGCTACAAGTCTCACGATACGATATCGTCACGGTATGAACCTCACGATACGATTATTTATTGCGATATCGTGGGAAAGCTCACGATTAGGGATGTAACAACATTACGATATTTTCACGATATACATCTCACGGTACGATATTTATTGCGATATTTTCTGGAGACAAACAAAACTCTGAATATGATACTTTTTTCTTGAAATGCCGTGACAAGACTTAACCCAAAGAACTAAGACTTAAAAGTGTTTAGAACTGTTATTTCTTCTTGTAGTTCTGCACTGAAATGGAGCAAAGGATCATGGTCTATGTAGTTCCCTCTTTTTTTTTAGCTATTACTGCACCATAACTCTTAATTTAAGCAAAGAGACTTGTAATTCAGTAGTTTGTGATGGTCCAGGATATTATTGTGAGAACTTTAACGATACCATAATATGATATTTAGGTTAACACGAAAATGAATGACTTGTTTGACGGTGTTTAGCCTGGCAACGTTGGCCAGTTTCCCAGGGCACATAAACAGAAAGAGCCAATGCCATAATCTGTTTCTCGATCTGCATCTACAGGGACTTGGTTACTGTGCGCCGACTGAAATTCTGAAATCCATGGATACTCGCTCCAAAAAAACTCCAAAATATAATCGGTCACATATTAGAACATACTCATAGTTCTGTTCTGTTGTTGTTTCGCTTTTACAAAATTAACTTTATTATTACTTTTATTATTTTTATTATTACAAAATTATGTTTAAATCCAGGCTAAAAAACTGTTCTGTGTATGTGATTAAAAGTTGTTTTTGTTTTAAACCAGGTCTAAACCAGGACTAAACCAGGTCTAAACCAGGTCTAAACCAGGTCTAAAACCAGGACTAAAAACAGAACTAAAATCAGAATTAAAACCAGGACTAAACCAGGACTAAACCAGGTCCAAACCAGGTCCAAACCAGGTCTAAACCAGGTCTAAAACCAGGACTAAAACCAGGACTAAAACCAGAACTAAAATCAGAATTAAAACCAGGACTAAACCAGGACTAAACCAGGTCTAAACCAGGTCCAAACCAGGTCTAAAGCCAGGTCTAAACCAGGTCTAAAGCCAGAACTAAAATCAGAATTAAAACCAGGACTAAACCAGGTCCAAACCAGGTCCAAACCAGGTCCAAATCAGGTCCAAATCAGGTCTAAACCAGGTCTAAACCAAAACTAAAACAAATTTAAACAAGTCTGAAACAGGTCTAAAACCAGAACTAAAACCAGGAATAAACCAGGTCGAAACCAGGACTAAACCAGGTTTAAAACAGGATTTAGCCAGGACTTAAAACCAGGACTAGATCTAAAACAAGTCTAAAACCGGGTATAAAACAGGGCTAAAACCCGGGCTAAAAGCAGAACTAAAACCAGGACTAAACCAGGTCCGAACCAGGACTAAACCAGGACTAAAACAGGATTTAGCCAGAACTTAACCATACCTCGTGGACTTCGCACCGTTCCTCCTCCCATACACCCCTCTATTATTTTGTGTATGAATTGTGCAGTACAAATAAACTTGCGTTGCCTTGAATGCCGCCATTTAAGTATCAATCAATCCATCAATTAATGAATCAGAACACCTCAGTAAACTTGTTCTTGTTTCTGACTGTGTTTGTGTGTGTGTGTGTTGTGTTTTAGGTGGCCTCTGCTCCCTGACCATAGACAAAGCCCTGCCCGAGGACGAGGGCCAGTACAAGTGTATAGCAGAGAACTCCACAGGCAAAAGCGAGTGCTCCTGTATGGTGCTAGTGGACGGTAAGTAGAGCTCAACGAATGTGCACGATTTCTGATTTATTTTCGTATTTAAAAGTCCACTGTGTAGCTTTTTTGGTGGAGGGTCCGGTCCGCAGTTGGGTACTAAACATATATCTCTTGCATGTGTTCAGTTACAGGTGTTTTATAGCTCAAAAGTACTTTAACATCAGCGGTAGTGCTCCCCCAACAGGCCACTCGTGAGAATGAGTCGCAAATACTTTTCCTACGTCCCCCACCTCTCAGTTGAGTGCTCACATTTGTTTTCATGAAGCCGAGAAACACAGTACGAAAAAAAATATCTCAGGTGGTTAATGTTATTTTATTCTTTAAGTATATAAATAAATTCCCCTTGAAATTCCAAACAGGTTGATCCAACACAAATGCATTAATGTTAAATGTCCGAGCTGATTTTACATTTGAGACTAGAGTTGTTCGTCGCTCCGTTTACAGACGGACTGACAATACTGACAACAAAGAACACGTCCAGCTGTTAAAACCTGTAACATTACTACTACATACAGATGAAACGTCAGTCTGTCAATTTCAGAAGTTACCCCTTCTTCTAAAACTAGCGCGAGTACATGTGTGTATGTTAAAGCAGTTAAAAAGCCACAACACATTAAAATGCCACAACAGAAGTGACCGCGGGACTTTATTTTCCGGCGGACCGATCAAGCGGCAAGTGAAGAAGAAGAAGAACTACAACGTGAACGAATAATGATAAAACAATAAATTACTTTTACTTATGTTTCCAACTTCTCCGTTCCTTTACTTTTCACATTGTAGTTCTTCTTCTTCACTTGGAAAATAAAGTCCCGCGGTCACTTCTGTGTGGCATTTGCGTTTGTGTTGTGGCGTTTGTATTTGTTACGGCGTTTGCATTAAAATAGAGTCCCGTGGTCATTTCCGTTGTGGCTTTTTTTTTGTGTTGTGGCTTTTTTTTGTGTGTTGTGGCTTTTTTTTTTTGTTGTGTTGTGGCTTTTTTGTTGTGTTGTGGCTTTTTTTGGTGTGTTGTGGCTTTTTTGGGGTGTGTTGTGGCTTTTTTTGGTGTGTTGTGGCTTTTTTGGTGTGTTGTGGCTTTTTTTTTCTTGTGTTGTGGCTTTTTTGGTGTGTTGTGGCTTTTTTTGGTGTGTTGTGGCTTTTTTTGGTGTTGTGGCTTTTTTTGGTGTTGTGGCTTTTTTGGGGTGTGTTGTGGCTTTTTTGGTGTGTTGTGACTTTTTTTTTCTTGTGTTGTGGCTTTTTTTGGTGTGTTGTGGCTTTTTTTTGGGGTGTGTTGTGGCTTTTTTTGGTGCGTTGTGGCTTTTTTTGTGTGTTGTGGCTTTTTTGGTGTGTTGTGGCTTTTTTTGGTGTGTTGTGACTTTTTTTTTCTTGTGTTGTGGCTTTTTTGGTGTGTTTGTGGCTTTTTTTGGTGTTGTGGCTTTTTTTGGGTGTGTTGTGGCTTTTTGTGTGTTGTGGCTTTTTTGGTGTGTTGTGGCTTTTTTGTGTGTTGTGGCTTTTTTTGGTGTGTTGTGGCTTTTTTGTGTGTTGTGGCTTTTTTTTGTGTGTGTTGTGGCTTTTTTGTGTGTTGTGGCTTTTTTTGGTGTTGTGGCTTTTTTTGGTGTGTTGTGGCTTTTTTTGGTGTTGTTGGCTTTTTTTTTGGTGTGTTGTGGCTTTTTTGGTGTGTTGTGGCTTTTTTTGGGTGTGTTGTGGCTTTTTTGGGGGGGGGTGTTGTGGCTTTTTTTGGGTGTTGTGGCTTTTTTTTGGGTGTGTTGTGGCTTTTTTGGTGCGTTGTGGCTTTTTTTGTGTGTTGTGGCTTTTTTTGGTGTGTTGTGGCTTTTTTTGTTGTGTCGTCGCATTTGCATTTGTTGCGGCGTTTGCGTTTGTTGTGACCCCTCTCGGCTTCCGTAGTTCTTCCCTCAAATTCACTCTGTTCCACCTTGTGATGTCATGTGCTAATACAGGAGGTGCTTCGCTGTGTTTGTGTTGCCAGTCTTTACTGAACTAAAGGTAACAAAACACAACTCCAGGTATGTTTTTGATGAAGTAACAACAAACTCTGCTCTCACAAACTCCAACTTAGAATTATAATAATACAAATAATAATAATAATAATAATAATAATAATAATAATAATAAAAGGAAGGTGCCAAGGTGTCTCTTCCTAACCATTAGAGCCTCTTCTGCCCCACTGTGGCAACCGATATTCCCCGAGCTCTTCCATGTGACTTGCCGTAACGGGAAGGGCATCTGGCATTAAGACCTGCTGCATCACAGAGATACTTTTTAAATTCCACATTATATTAAACCTAATGTTGTTTGTCCTGCGAGGATTCCTCTCTGAACTCAGCTGCTCCTGAGTTTCCTGTAATTATGCCAAACTGTAATTCTTTATTTACCAAACTTTTTCCTGGAAATGGCTCGTTAGCAGCGGAGCTTACGGGAATGCCATTTAAACAAGCAAACAGGACTTTATATCAGAATGTTCTTTTAAATGAGCCAAAACATTAGTAGGCTTCTGTTATTGGGGTCACAGTTCACTCAGGACAAATTAATTGTGTTTGCACGGTGGATGTTTGGACGTGCACGTAGCAGTTAAAGGGACCAGACTATGTTATTTTCTGATCTCCGTTATAATGTAGTTTCCTCATCAAAAACAGACCTGGAGAATCCGTGTATCGTTCGTTTTTCAAAATAAACCCAAAAATAAGAAAACGAAAAAACAAAAATTTTCTTGGTTATTTGTCTCCAAAACCAAAATGAGAAAATTGATAACGATTTGTTTTTTCAGTTTTTTTGATTTTGTGTTTAAATGAAGAATGGAAAAAAAAACGAATAACGACCATTTCCCGTCGGACTGAACCAGGACTGAACCAGGTGTAAATCAGGACTAAACCGGTCTGGTCCCAGTCTCAGTCCTGGTCTGGTCCCGGTCTCAGTCCTGGTCTGGTCCTGGTCTCAGATCTCGGTCTCGGTCCCGGTCTCAGTCCCGATCTCAGTCCTGTTCTGGTCCCGGTCTGGTCCAGGTCTCAGTCCTGATCACCCGACAGTCCACGTGGGCACACCTCTGGGCCCGTTCCGACAGTCAGTCCTGGTTCAGTCCTGGTTTAGTCCTGGTTTAGTCCTGGTTTAGACCTGGTTTATACCTGGTTTAGACCTAGTTTAGACCTAGTTTAGACCTGGTTTAGACCTAGTTTAGAACTGGTTTAGTCCAGTTTTAGACCAGTTTTAATCCTGTTTTAGTCCTGGGATCAGTCCTGGTTCAGTCCTGGTTTAGTCCTGGTTTAGACCTGGTTTAGACCTGGTTTAGACCTAGTTTAGACCTGGTTTAGACCTGGTTTAGAACTAGTTTAGAACTGGTTTAGTCCAGTTTTAGACCAGTTTTAATCCTGTTTTAGTCCTAGGATCAGTCCTGGTTTAGTCCTGGTTTAGAACTGGTTTAGTCTGGTTTTAGACCTGTTTTAATCCTGTTTTAGGCCTAGGATCAGTCCTGGTTCAGTCCTGGTTGGTTCAGTCCTGGTTTCGTCCTGGTTTAGACCTGTTTTAGTCTTGGTTCAGTCCTGGTTCAGTCTGTATGCCGCGCAAAAGTCCGACATCGCAGTTAAAGTTATAGAAACGTTTTTTTTTCCATTATTCTTTTAAACACAATACACAAATCAAAAACTGAAAAAACAAACCGTTATCTGTTTTTTTCATTTTTTCTTTAGTTTGATTCTCAGAACAGAATAATTTGTTTACAGTATTCTCCAAATGGTTAGTATTTGGATGGGAGACCACTGGGAACAACAGGAGTCCTTAGGCAGTAGTATCTTACCCTCCCATGTGCAGAAGTTTACATTTTCACTCAGAATATGTAGTTGCGTACTTTGATTATTATCCAAAGACCATACAATTGACTAATTCCTTTTACATATATTTTTTTGTTTTTCTTTCTTTCATGACCTTGCTTTATATCTAGTTTGTTCCATAGTTATTACAAATTAATACATAAACCCTTTTCTATTTTTGTTTAATATTAAAATTTGTTCTTGTCTGATGAGTTTTTAGCTAGATCTAAGTAAATAAGTAAATGTGGTAAAAACAAAACCTATAGTCCATTACTTTTGAATCTCTTCCCTAAGTATTAAAACATTTGTTGATATTTTATTTCTCAGGAATCTCAAAATCTGCGCTTGTATTTCCTGAACTAATAAAAACAAAGTGAACAGAAAACTAATAAAAGAACTTCCTCCAAACGTTTTGGTTCACTAACCTCGTATTTCACTGGCAACTTTACATTCTAATCTGACAGGACAGGCCCGCCCCTGCCACTATTTCACTTTGAGATCTGTAGTAAAACTTCTACATTTCACCGCTCCCCTGGAATAAAACGTAACGCGAACCACCAGACGCAGGATTTATTGACGTGTTAAAGGGCCTGTACCTGATTTACTTTTTTCCATGTATTTGAGGATTTGTATCTTGTCTCTGAGCAGATATATCGTATAAAGGAAAATATTGTTTATTGTTTTATTGTCTGAGAGTCAGGAAGTGCACGGTTAGCTTGCTAGTTGCTGTTAGGATTGCCAGTAAAACTCAACTAATCTCTGAAAATTGTGAAAAGAGCTTATAAACTGCAAAATGTTTAAAAATAACTACCGTATTTTTCAGATTATAAGGCGCAATATCAATAATGTTTAATTCTCTCGTCTGTTTTCATACATAAGCATTTTAAGCGAAACAAACGGACGGCACTTGAGACTGATCCCTTAGTCCAGGCGTCCACGATCTATTGTCAGATCGTGGCGTAATTTGCCCGGCGTTGGCTCCCTGTGAATGTGTTTTATCAGGTTAGCCGCGGCATCTTAAAAGTCTTAAAAAGGTCTTCAATTTCATGTTCCTAAATTAAGACCTTAAAAATGATGTTGTCCAAGTCTTATTTTATATCTTATATTTTTCGTCCTCATAATGGGTGCGATGTTGGTCTTAACACTTGTGCTATCCTCAAAGGGATTCAGAAGTGTACAATTGTGACCCTAACCATCCATTTGACCCGGTCACATAACAGCCACGTGACTTGGCCTTACATTGTCTCCGTTCTTCGTGTGCCTTGTTGTGCTTATGCTCTTTATTTATTTGGAAACTGTTTTAACCTCAGAGGGGTACATCTGTGTCCCTTTGAGGATAGCACAAGGGTTCATTTTCGTGGTCTTAAAAAGGTCTTTAAAAAGTATTAAATTTGGAGTAGTCAAACCTGGGGATACCCTGATTATGAATGTGGTTTGATTATTTAAATTTGTTTATATCCTACGAGGACTCAAATATTCACTGAGTAATAATGTGTTTAATGCACCTTTGCGCGCATTTGTTTACGTTTTACAGAAATGAAACTTAAAACCACTTGGCTAATTTGCATAAACTATAAGCACTGAAAAAAACTCGTCCCTTGTGCACTGATGTGGTCAGCTTTTGTCGGACTAAAGGACACGACTCAGGACTCAGGACTCGACTTCTTTCTTACCAAAGTCGTACTAAAACATTTTAACAGATTTTTGAGTGCTGTGTACCACATAAAATCGGTTTGAGGTCAGTAAACACAACCAGAATTAATACATAAGGTGCACCGTCGATTTCTGAGAAAATTCACAAATTTTAAGTGCGCCTTATAGTCCGAAAAATACGGTAGTTATGTTTTCTTTTTTTTAAAGGTCCTGTTTTACACAACTCTTGTTAGAATGGTGTTACCTCATCAAAAAAAATACTTGGAGTTGGTTTTGTTTCAGTAAACATGCTTTATAGTCTGTCTATTTTTAAAGCTCAAAATGCTCTGTTCCACCTTGTGATGTCATGCATGTAGTAGTAGTTTTCAAGTTAACAGCTCCTTTTTTTACCTTTAGTTCAGTAGAGATTGGCAATTCCAGGTCTGAAATTATCCACATAATTCTAGTGAAGGTGCATGGAGTTTAAAAACACAGTGGAGCATTTCCTGTATTACCACGTGACATCACAAGGTGGAAGAGAATGTTTAAATATTCAGTGTTTGTGTGCTTAAAAATGAGAAAATAGCGTAACTTGGGCCTTTTCAGACTGTCAAACTCCGGTTCAGCGCCTTTAATAATTTATCCTCTCCTCCTCCTCTGCTCCTCTTTCCACAGACCCGGCGGAGAACTCCCCGGCCGACAAGAAGTCCAAGAAGGCGACTCCGACTTCAGAGAGTGAGTTTCCAAAATATGCGGTACTCGGCAGACTCCTTCCTTTTGTCCCAATATGGCCGTGCGGGCTGGGATGGCCGGTTCCCACACACACACACCAGCGCAGAGCGAGGGAGCGGGAGAGAGGGCCGCGGGGCTATTTTCGAGCGCTTTGTGTATCGTTGGAACCATCAGCGCGTATATCACTGTCATGTTATTATTCCTACCTCTGTATGATAGGATCGCGTTTCCCATCAGCCCCCAGGTCGCTCACCCCGTAAATGTTATATACACGACAGACAGGGAGCGGCTTACGGGGTTTACGGCTGTCTCTTTAGTCAGTTCATCAAGATTTTCGTATGACTTGCGGGGAAAAGTTGTTGTTGGAATGTGAGGAGTAGATGTAGTGAGATCAGGATGTATGAAATAAAGCTTGGAGACACTATATTACACCAAAATCGGATTATTTTCAGATTTCTGGGCGTTTAAAGGGACTATATTACGCTATTTTATCATCTGTGTCAGGGGTCCCCAATCCCCGTGGACCAGTACCGGGTCGTGGGTCGTTTGGTACCAGGCCACAAAAGCACAAACCACACCCCCCCACTGTGCCTCCTCCAGTGTTTCCCGTGCCTCTTAACCAGAACTAAAACCAGGAACTAAACCAAAACTAAACCAGGTGTAAAACCAGGACTAAACCAGAATGAAAACTAGGACTAAAATCAGGTCTAAACCAGGTCTAAACCTGGTCTAAACCTGGTCTAAAACCAGGTGTAAAACCAGGTGTAAAACTAGGACTAAACCAGAATGAAAACTAGGACTAAAACAGGTCTAAACCAGGTCTAAACCAGGTCTAAACCTGGTCTAAACCTGGTCTAAACCTGGTCTAAACCAGGTGTAAAACCAGGTGTAAAACCAGGTGTAAAACTAGGACTAAACCAGAACGAAAACTAGGACTAAAATCAGGTGTAAGCCAGGTCTAAACTGGGTCTAAACCAGGTCTAAACCGGGTCTAAACCGGGTCTAAAACTAGGTGTAAAACCAGGTATAAAACTTGGTCTAAACCAGGTGTAAAACCAGGTGTAAAATCAGGTTTAAAACCAGGACTAAAACAGGACTAAAACAGGACTAAAACAAGACTAAAACAGAATTTAACCAGGACTAAGCCATGCCAACCATGCCATCTCCTTCCGAGCGCTGCCGGTCCGTGAAAATCCCTGTGAATGTCCCGAAAAGAATCCCAGCCCCCCTCCTCCCTCCGGTCCGTGAAATACTGTTTGACATAAAACCGGTCTGTGGGCCAAAAAAGTTTGGAGACCACTGATCTATGTTATAATGTTGTTCTCATCACAAACAGACCTGGAGTTGAGTTTTGTTTCATTCACACACATTTAACACACAAATCCTGCATATTTCTCTCAAACTGAAAACACTCTACTCCACCTTGTGATGTCATGTGGTAATAAACTCCATACACCTCCTGAACAAAAGGTAAAAGTAGCTGTTAACTTGAAAACTACCACTCCATGACATCACAAGGTGGAACAGAGCATTTTGAGCTTTGGAGATGTAGACAGACTAATAATAAAGAGTAACTGAAACATGTGTGAATGAAACAAAACACAATTCCAGGTCTGTTTTTGAGGAGGTAACAACATTATAACATGGATTATAGCTCACAAGTGTAATTTTTTTGTAATATAGTACCTTTAAAATGATTTAGGTGACATGAAAACTGCAAATCTGATGCGAGGAATCTGAAAAAAACTGCAGATTTTACAGTTTATTTTTATTTTTTTTTCAATTATACAAAACAAAACAAAAAACCCAGAGGAGAAGAGTGCTGTTACAGTCATTTGTTGAAATATTAATCGAGATGTGAGATGTGTATAGCATAAGTTTTCAGATGAAGTCCTAGGTAAATATACTCACATACTCCATTTTGTGTATGTTTCGTAAAAAAAGTCCCTTTGGAAAGACAGATTTTTCATCACATAAATTTCATAGACTGTTTCTACCCACTCCTCTATTGATGAAGGATTTGTCCTCAGCCATTTTCTTGTAATGGCTTTTTTTTTTGCTTACTACAAGAAGGATTGCTAATAACGTTTTATCATAATTTCTCCAATTTTGGACATTAACATCTCCCAAGTATAAACACTCAAAAGTAAACATCGATTTAGCCCCAAAAACATGGTTTGTCTGACTCCAATAAGATTTCAGAATAGTGCAATCCCAAAAAATGTGATAGTGGTTCGCCCCAAATGATCCTCAAAGCCTCCAACATGAATCAGATTTTAGTGTCTAGATGCGATTTAATACTGTTTTATAACTCGTGTGTGTAACTGCAGACAGTGGCATTGGATTCAGCAGAGTATTTGTCTGATTCAGTGGAATAGAACTTTTTGGCACAGTCAAAAGTTACACATTGTTTGTTCTTGCCTCTGTCACACTTAATGGTGCTGAGATTCTTTAGTAGTGACCGGAAAAGGCCAGTACATTGTTAATATGTTTTTGAACAAAGAATTTCAGCTTCTGTAGGAGTTGACTCTATGTGCTCTGGTTTCCCCAATCACTAATGTACAATAGACAAGACCCACGGCTTTACTTTACAGCACATTTACATATAACTAGGGCTGTCTATCATTAAGAAGCTGCTGATACGATACATACCTCAATACAGTGCACTTTCCATTCAATACGATATATTTCAAATCGATTTGATACTGTTCAATAAAAAATAAAGGCTAATACTAAAAGTCTTTGTTAAACCACTTTTTGTGCAAAGTTCATATGAAAAATGCTAATTGTAACGATTTTAACAAAATAATTTAGAAAAATATACTAAAAACTACTCTTGGCGATATATATCGATAGAGCAGTACACGATACTGATGCCGTATCATCACCTTAAACGAAACGATATATCGATATTTCCATATTTGTGCACACTCCTACATATAACACAGGGATTTTTGAATTTTGAAGCCGTGTTTTGTATTATTTCTGGTAAATAAATTGGATTAATCTTATTATAAAGTAGAACGACAGAGTGCTCCTGTAATTACCATTTAATAATTAATTGCACTTTTGTATTTGCACCATGTAATTTAGTAAAACATCACATTTTTATAAGTTTTTTCCACCTTATGCATTTTACATAATAGAACACACATTCATACACCGGTGTGCCCATCCCTTCTGTGTTGTATTGTGCTTCACAGTGTTGGGAAGGTGACTTTTAAAATGTATTCCCCTACACATTACAGATGACATACCTCAAAATGTAGTTTGTAACGTAGTCCATTAAGTTGCTTAAAGTGAGTAATGTAATCTGAAAATTTTGGATTACTTGATATTGTCATGCTTTTTAAAACTACATGAATGTAACAACCACATCCTGAAAATTCTTGTTTGTTCTCTTCAAATTGGCTGAGCCCAAGTCTCCATGAACAGACTTTTGTTTGCTGCAAAGACTAGAATCGTAACATAAGATGTTTTGTCTGCTAAAAGACAATAAAAAGTCCACTCTTTCCTTAACCAAATTAAAAATATTATTGACAGAGAAATTATTTTTATATGAGATCACTGCTGCCTTAAAGTATGTCCACCCTACTGTTAGTGTCATATTGTTTAGACCTGGTTTAGTTCTGGTTTATTCCTGGTTTAGACCTGACTGGTTTAGATGGTTTAGTCCTGGTTTTAGTTCTGGTTTATTCCTGGTTTAGACCTGGTTTAGACATGGATTTAGTCCTGGTTTAGACATGGTTTTAGTCCTGGTTTAGACCTGATTTATTCCTGGTTTAGACCTGGTTTAGACATGGATTTAGTCCTGGTTTAGACATGGATTTAGTCCTGGTTTAGACATGGATTTAGTCCTGGTTTAGACATGGATTTAGTCCTGGTTTAGTCATGGGTTTTAGTCCTGGTTTAGTCCTGGTTCAGACATGGTTTTAGTCCTGGTTTAGTTCTGGTTTAGTCCTGGTTTAGTTCTGGTTTAGTCCTGGTTTAGTTCTGGTTTAGACCTGGTTTTATTTAGTCCTGGTTTTAGACCTGGTTTAGTCTGGTTTAGACCTGGTTTTTAGTCCTGGTTTAGTTCCTGGTTTAGTTTAGACATTCTGGTTTTTAGTCCTGGTTTAGTTCTGGCTTAGTCCTGGTTTAGTTCTGGTTTAGTCATGGTTTAGTCCTGGTTTAGACCTGGTTTAGACATGGTTTTAGAAAAACAGGAAAATACTGCCATGTAATCCACTGTTACTCATAATTTGTACTCTGATTACTTAACGCTGGTACATGTAATCCATTACTCCCCAACACTGGCCATTCACAAACCAGGCCAGGACCCTCAAAATAACCGCGCAACAGACTCCGTCATCTTGCCACCTCCAGCTCAGTGTCTCACAGCCCCCCGATAGCTCCTGACTCACTGCTGTTATGCAAAATGTTTCAGTTTAAACTAAGGTCCCATTGAGCATTAAACTAAATTTATGTTTTTACGTGGACCGGGGATGGAGAGTCTTATCACAAGTTGTTATCAGGAGCAGTTATAGCAACATCGTCTGGTTTGCATTCATGCCTTGGCTTAGAGTGAAGGGATTTGGGGAAAAATACAGAACTGTGATTTGCGTTTTATGTTTTAATTATAGGATTCTGAAACATTGAGATGAATTGACAAAAAGACTGAATCAGCAAACTAATACAGGAATCTTATTTCGGAACATGTTTGTGTTGTCATAATTCTGAACTATCCAACTATTTTGATACTAAGGAATAGCTGCGATACTCAGTGCGGTTTCTGATGCTGTAATGATGATTAAAAAAAACCCTCTTTTAGACAATACAATGTGCTTTTCAACATAAAATCATATCAAAATCATAGTACTGTATTTTTCGGTCTATAAGTCGCTTCGGAGTAGAAGTCGCACCAAAAAAATGCGTAGTGAAGAAGAAAAAAACATATATAAATCACACTTTTTGGGGGGAATTTATTGTATAAGCTCAGAGACCAGGAACTGACATTTCATCTT